CTGCTGAAGACACCTCCACAGGCAAGTAGCAACTAGCAAGCAGGGAGTTTCAAAGCCTTTCTTCCATTCATTCCCTAATCTTGCGCTCTACACTGCGGCTTGAAGCTTTGGGGAATGAGTAGTTTAATTCTTCAGCATTACGTAACACGTCTATATTTAAGGCTGAGCATTAAAAAAAAATCAACTATAGATAGTGTCAACCCCTGACATCTCCTGTTCGGAATTATTGTACCATCTGCAAACGTGTGGAGTTGCGTTGTTGCCCGGGTACCGCGTCCCCAGGCGCGCCCTGCGGCGGGTGCTCAGCTCTGGCGCTGAGCGCAGACCGTGCACAGCGCCGGCGTAAAACCCCTCGCCGCAAATGGTGGAGATCCCAGCTGTCAGCAGAGGCAGTCCAATTAGGGCTTGTGTTCTCCTCAGGTGGGCCACGGCTAAAGGCAGTTACATGCATCTGAGTATTCTTGATCTTATAACAACAAATTATTGGTAAACAGGCGCCACGGGTGGATGTTTGCAGTCAGGTAGCGAGTAACGGTATACGGGGTGGTAAGGTGAAGCCACCTCACGGCACCCTGTTTTTCTCAGTTCATCCAACGTGAAGAAGTGGGAGACGGAGCTGCAGACGCTGCGGGAGAGCAACGCCCGGCTGAGCACGGCGCTGCAGGAGTCTGCGGCCAGCGTCGAGCACTGGAAGAAGCAGTTCTCCGCCTGCAAGGAGGAGAACGACCAGCTCAGGAGCAAGGTAGCAGAGCATGGCCGCCGGAGAGCCGTCTCTTCCCGTTGCTCCTGCCATTGCTCTTTCTCTTGGAGCTCCGCTGCTTTGTCTCTGTGTGTGCTAGCTGACGGGTTTTGTCTTGAAAAGGAGGCGGATGGGGGGGTACGGCAGGGGGGGTGGGGGGTTACGCCAGCTGGTTCCCGCTGCACGAGCGCGCGGTGAAGGTCAAAGGGCCGGCCGCCAGCGGGAGGACCGGTGCCGCCGCATCGCGTGGAGCTCTCTGCCGCTTCACTGGGGAGACTTGGTCTCAGCAGGGGTTGCTGGCCGGGGTGATAAAACAGAAAGGTTTTGAAAGTGGGATTACTATTGCGTATCCCTTTCGAAGCTCCCGTGAATACTGCCAGATGACGAATGAGCAGAAGGCACGTTGTGGCCTGGTTACCCACAGGAAACCAAGCTGGAAACCACTCGGTGTTGGAAGCAAATCCCGGCGGCGGGCGGGGAACGAGGCTGTGAGTTATGTCCTCAGCACCGCAGGCGGTGAGCTGGGTCCTGCAGCACTAACGCCGGGCACACCTTGTCCAGAAACCTGCCGAGAGGCATTGTCAAAAGCCTCTTCCCCTCCGTTACTGGGCACAAGTGTGAGACTGACAGTGAGCAGCGGCTACAGCAGACGGCAATTCAGAAGTTTAAATTTTTAAAGCCTTGGTTTGGAGTAGTCATTGGTACTGTCCCTCTAATAATACTGTGCTCTCTGAAACAGCCCCACACGGGGTTGGCACCAACCTGGGCAGGGGTTTCCCTGAGCACTGCTTGCAGGCATAATTTCATTCCGTTCATCTTAAATGTCTTTGGAAAAGCTGGATCCTTCTCCTGCTTGCTTAGACGGATCACTGGGACGTTTGGAGTAGAGATCAGATTGTATCAGTCTGGTGGGGATTTTTTGTTTCATGTTTGCTTTCAAAGAGGGAGGGAATTTCTTATCTTTTTGTATGTCAGTAGGCAGCAAATAGTGTTTCAGCGTTGGAGGTGGCGTGGGTTGTCTGTCGGCACTGAAAATCCATGTGGAGCAACCTTTTCCCGAGGCAGATATTCTCTATCTATTCACAAATATTTTAGGTGTGATAATTCAGAGATCAAACCAGAGCTGTATTTACTGGTGTTACATTACAAAATTAATATTAGTTGTTATATGATTTGGGTTCCTATGTTCAGTCTCTTTTGGATAGGGAAGGAGTGAGAGACTGGAACAGTATGTTATAAGAAGATATAACTTGCAGTGTAGCTTTTTACTTTTCTATACTATTGCAGAGAAAATTTGTTCTCATTAACATTAACTGATGAAGCACACCACATCTCAGTAGCTGTAGTCTAGATATGAAGAGATTACCAAAACAGTGCCTTACTACAGCTGCAAAATCATCACACCGGTGACTAGCCAGACTGTGCAGCAACGCTGTCTGTATAATGTGCTGTCTTTTCCTATACAGAGAGGTTTTTTGAGCTTCCCCCCATGTAGGTTCCTTGCTCGGCGCTCACGCTGCAGCACTGCAGCACCCTGGGAAGTTCCTTCTCCTTCATTAATTGGGTCAGAATTTTTTGCATATTGCTCTACCTTCAAATGACAGGAGTTATAATCCCAAAGCAACACGAAGCTGAGAATTAAAATACATACTTTAATGAGCAGGCCTGTCAGCCTGTGGGAAGTGCATCTCCTGGGAGCCAAGTCCAGAGCTGGCAGGAGAAGGTATGGAGAGAGCAAAGCACGTCCCTGGGCGAGAGAACAAAGTGGCATACGTTGCTCTGAACTGATTCTCCCCCCAAAGTTTTGATGTTGTGTCCCTCGTACTCCAGCTAGAATAATAAGCAACCCCTGAGGAGGCAAAGCTGGGAGCACTGGAGAGATTTCTTCTCCTTGCTGCGTTAAGAAAACCCATCCCTTATAGTCTTGTGTTGGTTTCATGGCAGTGAAGTGCAGATTTTATCCACAGCTCCCCTCAGTGTTTTGTGCATTTTGTTTAGCAGCTCAGTGTTTTGTGCATTCCTGAGATGAGACACGGTGCAAGAGAGAAGAAACACAGTCCCAGGGCTTCCTAGTGGATGTGTAAATTGGCTCTTTTTAAGGAAAGAAGTGATAATTTGGTTGCAGTGAATCAAGTGCTGTGATCTAGGAAACACATCCACGACAACTTAAAATTGTCTGTGCTGCCCTCTGCTCAGTGGAGCAATGCCCGTTTACATCAGCTGTGTTCTGCCCCAGATTTTCAGAAATTTGAGAAATTTCACCTAATGTCTGACATTTCTTAAAGATTGAAGAACTGGAGGAACAGTGCAATGAAATAAACAAAGAGAAGGAAAGAAATGCGCAGCTGACTAGACGTCTCCAGGAGCTGGAAACGGAACTTCAGGACAAAGAGCTGGTAAGCGTCCTGAGCACGGAAATGGCATGCTTTAGAGTTTGGGTGGGTCCGTCTGCGTCTCACTTGGAGTGTGGATTTATGGACTGGCTCACCTACAACCAGAAGCAACCTGATGTCTCAGCGTGTTGCCTGTTTCTAGATTTTCCATGCACAGCTCCTTAGCAACAGTTTGATAGAATCCCTTGGTCTCAGTTTCGTGATGTGTTACGCGCTGTGACAGCACACTTTAATTTGGCAGTGGTTAACAAACATAATACTTTCATGTATACAGCACTTTACTCCGAATAGAAGAGCTGGAGTGGTGGAACTTGTTGCCCAAAGCCAGACAGATGCATGCTGAAAAGAGTTTCATTTGCCAGTCCCCATGCCCCGAATTCCTGTAGAATTCCAGCATTAAAAAGACATCATTTACAAAATAACTTGGTGTTTGTATAACAAGTCCTGTGTCTTTTTCCAGACGCCTTGTAGTCTTCAGCTTTGCCATTTTATGGTCTCCCTCTGATCTCAGGACTAATGCCAAGAGTGAGAAATTCAGATTCATTTAGAGTAACCCGGTTTGTCATTTTTGACATACAAGGTGTTCATTTTTCTAAGGAGAGTGATGTTGATGGCTTGGAGCCCCTGAACAGTGGGGAAAATAATAGGATCCTTGGTTTTTTCCTTCATTACAGTGACCAAATGTTCTGTGCTGGCTGAAGAGAAAAAGCTGTCAGCAGGTGCAGTAAAGTTTGCCATGTGCCATTACAGCATCTCTGCTGGTGCTCTTAAAAGCAGTGCTGTTAAGGGGTTTTAAGATGGCACAAGGAAATAGTTTAGGGAGGTGGATTTTGATGCACTGTTATAATATGTTTTTTAGCCCCATATTTCAAAGGAAAATGTCATGCTTTCTTCCCAAACTTTCTGTGGTAATAGCCTGTATAATAATCCTTGTTCTCTGCCAGCATTTTCCTCAAGATTCACATTTTTACAGTACCAAATGAACCAGAAAATTTATTGACTTGTGAATATTGCATGCCTATCTTCCATTTACACTGACAATATACTAACTTGTTTTCAAGCTGCATACATACATTAGCGGGTTCGTGATTAGGCCTAAACCACCCATAAGTAACCTTTTCATGGTCTGCAATTCAAACCAGCATGAAGCCTGCTCATGGACATTGCTGTGTAAGAGAGGCTGCTGATATCCTCCTCATGTAGGAACGGAGGATAGAGAAATGTAAAGAAATGGGCATCAGGACAGAGCTATCTAGTGAAATATTTATATATTTCTCTCTCTCTCTCTCTCTCTCATATGTGCCGTATGCCATGTACCATATATATAGGGTATATATATATACACACACTGTATTAGACTATATATAGCAAGTATACAGTATGGTAGTTATATATATAGTAGGTATATATAGTATAATATATTTATATTTTGAGATGTGAGCTCCCAGGCATTGTTTATGTATATACAGATATATATGCATGGGAGCTCATATCTCAAAACAAAGGGTAAGTTACCCTTTCTTTCTCCTGTATCAGCAGCTGCGACATTACCTGGATATAGTTACTCTTACATTAGTTAAAGTCTTCAGTGCAGGTCACGAAAAGTCTGTAGTATTTTGTCTCCTTATCTTAATGTAAACTAATGCTGAAAAACATAAGGAAAGAATAAAAGCAGTTAGAATTGACCTGGTTTTACATAATTTCTCAAAAAAAAAGAATTTATCGATGTAATGGTGCTTTTGGCAAACCTCAGAATAAAGCAACATGCTCTCCAGGATAGACTGGATTCTTGTGAAATTTGGGTGAGACTGGAAGTGCTGAGTGTTGATGTTCTTAGAACAAGGGAATCGGGGACTTGAGGAAAACCATTATTGTCTGGTTCTGTGGAAGAGCTTGACTTACGGGTTCTGTTGCACTCCTATCATGCTGTAAGTTCGCCCATTAGGGGAGAAATCATCTTTTGTAGCCAAGAAATCTGCCTTTCAGATAGGGCTGGTTTTGCTGTCCTGTGCCAGTACAGCTCAGAGAGGATATACCCCTGCTTACTCTTGAGACCATCACCTACCTGGGCAGCTTCTGGAGGAGGATCTTGCACTCTCTTCAAGTCACAGAGTTGCTCTTGGACCTGCAAATGTGCTTTTCAGATGCTTTGACTATCCTTCTGCAAAATCTACAGGCTTTCT